AGGAATGGGGGTTTGTAAATATGTATATATGGAACATTTTATTTTCTGACCCAAAGTCAGAACTTTATAAAAATCTTGAGTTTGTTCACTAATGTGAAATACGCCGTGTGTCCAGGGTATTGCTCCCCTGAATGTGTGTGAGTGCTGTGTAGTATTGCAGAGAATATGATGAGTTATTCACTGTCACAACTTTTTCTGTAGAAAACAGGGGCTGCTTTTTTTTTTTTTTATTTTTTTTTTTTTTTTTTTTAAGACAGGGTTTCACCATGTTGGTCAGGCTGGTCTTGAACACCCGACCTCAGGTGATCCGCCCGCCTTGGCCTCCAAAGTGCTTGGATTACAGGCATGAGCCACCATGCCCAGCCCTGGGGCTGCTTTTTAAACTGCTCTCACTGTGGGCACTTTACCAAAATACTTCCATATCAACTATTTCAACTCAGTAGTTGTTTGACCTAATTAGATGTGGTGTTTGTTCAAATTTCTATGAAATCATGTTTGACAATACTGTAAATTAGGTTAATTCTGTAAGTCTTAGAGAGCATCATTATATTGTGCTGTTTTCGATAACACATTTGATACAAGCATTTAAATGGTTTCATTTGGTAAGTACCATTACACTGAAATAAATTGTGTACGTGCCTCCAAACAAAAGCTTAATTATCGAAAAAATTATTTCTGAAACAACAGATTGATCTAATATTGTGTCATATACTTGAAAGACTCATGGACAGCTGGTCAGCATAATACCTTCCTAATCTGAAGGTTATGCTACTGCAAACCTTTCTGTAAGGTATTTTACAAAAGAGTGGCCTAGAGTAGCCCAATTGAAGTGGATGTGAGCTAACCTCTTAAGATTTCTTCTATCCTAGATTGAACACACATGTGGCTGTTACCATTCTCACATAATTATAAGCCTCCTGTTACAAAAGGGAACTTTTCAATCTATACTTTTTGTCCTCCTCAGTCTTATACTTGGCATGCTGACTTAAAACCAATTATAAGAGATGCTGGAGGATTCCCAGAATGAAACATTCCTCAGCAGCCTCCTGACTTAACTCGGATCCGGCAGGTCTTGGCAGATCCGGAACTAACTTCATTACAGTGAATTGAGCCAAAACCATTATTGCTTGCTCACATCTTAGGAACACTTTTTGTTGAAGAAGCAAACTAACAATAACAAGTTAGGCATTCCTTCTGAATTTACCATATGAGGATTACGTGTAAACAATTGATTGTGACTAGATTCTCTATTTGTAGACCAGTTAACATAGTCTTTCATTTATGCATCTTTATCTTGCTCAAAGTGGGCTGAGGTTTTTAATAGGTGGTTTTCCACCACATTAAGTACTTGGTCTTCAGTCTGAAAAATAGGAAAAATAACTTTCTTTTTTGTGTTTTTTGATTTTGCAGTCATTACTCCTAACTGTGGATATGTGTTGCAAAAGCAATGTTTTTATGGATTTTTTTTTTTTAAATAGAAGAAGCCTATATTCTGTTAAACATAAAAATTCAGAGACAACAGTGTTAATACCTGGGATATAGAGAAAAGGCGGTGCTGTGAATCACTAAATTAAAGGGATACTTGCTTTAACCTGTACCTTAATGGAATCTGGCATAGGGGTGCACCCACAGTAAATGTTTTATAACTAAGATTTAAGATCATAACCAGTAGGTTAGAGGAAGATCATTTATTAAGTTTGTTATTTCTAATTTATAGCTATGTAAAATGTTCTCAGTTACTGCATTTTAAGTTCCCATTACTGGGGTGAGAGTGTATGTGATTGTACTGTTTTATCTTTCTGCTGGGATCATGGATCTAACGTACCTGGCTTAATCTGATGCATTTGTCACTAGGCTCCAGGTGCCCCTTTTTTTAGTCAGAAGTTTTTCATGTGAAATAATTTGACCCTGTTTTCTGCTTGATCATACTCCTAAGCAGGCACCAAGGGAAGGTGTTCTATTCACCCCGTAGCTTCAGCTTAACAGTCTTTAACTCAGAGGGAGAGATGAAGAAATATGATTCTAAGTAGGGTCTAGCAGAGTCACTGGAAAGTGATAAAACTAGGAAGGGAAAGCCAACCTTTATAAAGGGACAAAAACATAGCTGTTACCTAATATGCCACTGTATGTGTGTCCTTCTTAAGAGAAGTACTATATATGACAGCTAGTGGTACCATTTCTTGTATCCAGCAGGAAAACCTACAGGCTACACAGAAGATATGTGAATAAAGACTGGATTGAAGGAGAAAAGGCCGATAATACATACCTATGATGAAAATTCATATTTTCTCTTTCTGTGTCCCTTCATACAGAAGCAAGTTTGAACAGAAGGTTAGCCATTGCAGCACTTAAAGTTTGATTTTGAGGGGTTTTTCGTATTTCACTGCTGTTGAACATTGATGTAGTTTTCCAAAATCAACATCATTATTTAGTAAGGGCACTGAATACTGAAGTCTGTTGATTGGCAAGCGTATATCTGTAGCTAGAATTTCTTCAATTGTAATTCCAGAATTTTAAAAGGTAAGAGATCCGCTTTTTCATAGAGGCCTTTAAAAAAAGACTATTTAACACTTCTATTTGGCTGTGGATGTGAATGCTCAGGGAATTTGGAAATGTGTTTAATACAGAAGTGGCTTTTTATAGTTCTTCAAGTGATAAATTAACATTAGGACATATCAGGTAGAACAGGCCAGTTTGCTGATGAGGTTGGTAGAGATGTGACAGTCGCTTCATCCTTCCTTTTTCCATGTCATATGCAGAGAAGTGTTAATCTTGCTCAATCAGATGGCAGTAGGAGATGGGCTGAAAACAGAGATTGCTACACCATTCTATTTAGTTTTCATGCCTGTTTTTTCTCCCATCCTATATGGACATTTGAGAAATGGATTACAAATCTGAGACGAATGGAGTAAAAAGAGGCAATTGTGTACTTATAAGTTAGGCCTATTTTGCTGTTAAAGAGTCTGTCTTGTTTCAGGTCATCAGAATTGGGTGGTGTGAGTTGCTGGGAGAGAGAGTCAAGAACTTAGACTTGAATGGGAAGGGCAACTGGCGAGGGAAGCGGGGTATTCTCTACTCAGTGTTCTAAGTTAGTACAAAACTGGCGAGCCCCTCCACTCCCCCCTGCCCAGCCACTTTTCTTAAGATTCTGAATGAGATCAGTGTGGAGACCCAGTAATGTAATTTACCTTGGAAGTTCTAAATGATCATTGAAAATAAAGTAGTATGGTATGTTGAACAGTAAGGAGTGACGCTAAAATTTGAACATAACAGTATGTTGCAACTATCTATAATACACCTACCTATGTTTTGAGAACTAAGTAAAATGCTATGAAAAATTCACATAAATAGGCACTTAATAAATCAAGCACCAAATGAAAATAATTTTGTGCTTTTAAGTTAATGATATTAAGCTATTTCGTTTCAAATAGATGATTCTAAGACATCCTACAAGAAGTTAAAATATTTGCCTTTTGCAGTTTTAATGCAATTTGGCTAAGGAGGAACTTGGAAAATAACATTCATCAGTTACTACACTGCACTTTTTGTATGTGGACTTTGTAAAGCTTAATGCCCCTTTAACAGTTGCTTGTTTATTTTCGTAAACCTGGCTAGTAAATATTGATGGTGTTCAGGGCCACAGACTTGCACAGCCTTTGGGGCACTATTCACACAGAACACAACTTCGAGCTTGTTAAGACACTAACGCACTTTGGTATCTGTTTCAAGAATACTTTTGTTATCACAAGTTCATTGTTGTCATTTAGACAAAATTAATGTACTGTAATATTTTCCTACTGTTAGGAAGATGTTGCCTAGCCTAGTACTGTCATTTTGCATTGTGAGAAATTCAGTTCTGATGTCTGTGAGTGCAAGATATTGATGTGGTCCCTGTAAGAAATACTAGAGTTCGTCATGATTTACTAAGGAGATGTAATATTTTCTTTTCCTTTGACCTGTTAGGAATATAACTGTGTCTTTCATTTGTTGCACACCATATTTTTTGCAACATTAATGAATTTAAATAAATTAATTGGAACGTCCGTCTTTGCCTCATTTTATCACATTTTTCTATTTTTCATTATGCTACTAAATTTTTGCTCCGAATTGTCCTATAAGCTTCTGAAATAGTTTCAGGCCTTTCCACTTCTTATCCTTTCTAGTCTGAGTGCTTCTGTTGTTTGAAGAGCAGAGAGTTCAGCCTGCTTTCATTATTTTAATATCAAAACAATAATGAAACTTTGTGTTTCTTAGTTGACAATTTTTTTAGTTAATGGGGAATCCAAGGATGAAAGTTTATGGCTTAAAATGAAAACATGGCATAAGTAAGAACTTGTTCATAGACCTCAGAGGTTCCAGCTGATACCACCTTTTGTTGTTGGTTTTTGGGTTTTTTGTTTTGTTTTGGGTTGTGTTTTTTTTCACTTACTCTTTAATCAGTATTCAATTATTTTGTAGGATAAACTGCTCTACACATCACTGCTGCGTTTAAAAGCCAGTTAGTGTGCCATGCATCCTGACACCTAAAACAATTTGTGATTTTGCAAACTCGAAATGTAGACTGCAGTATCTCTTGCATATTAGAAGCAAATTTTAAATATAATTTCTCCCAAATTGAAATTTTTCAAGAACCAGTCACAAACTGAAAGCTTTGCTTGCCTAAATGAATTGCAGCACTCTTTCGAGTGGTAGAGACCCTGCTATAACCTTTTCAGAATTCGTCTGCAACGTCTTTTCAACAGTCTTATCCTGAACACACTTCCGGCGTGAAATATGAATACCCTACATTTCTTAAATTGTGCATCTAACAGTGGAGAAGATTCGGCTCCAAAAACGATAATTCCCTTAGGAAGGATTTCGCGTCAGTGCGCCTGCCCACCACTTTAGGGCTTGAAGCTCCAGCCCGACGCCCCTCCTTTCACCTCCTAGCCCTTCCCTCGCAAGGCTTGATTGGCGGGTGAGAGCAAGGCTGGGCGGGGCCTCCCGGCCCACCGGAGGGATGTCACTTCCAGGTTCAGCGAACACTTCCGGGTCGCCGGCTCCGGTCTGCGGCTTCTGCGGTGGCTGAAGAGGTGGTCGGAGAAGTAGGAACCTCCTGTTGGGCTGTGGCCGCTTCTGTCCGCTCCGCGGCGGGAAGCACCTTCCCCACAGGTAATGGGTGAGCTGGGCAGGGATAGGGAGGCAGGCAGGCCAGCGCTCCCTGCCGTCCCCGGAGCCGGGCTGCGCTGGTCGGGTCGTCTCTGAGGGCCCTTAGCTCCTGGGTTCGGCCCGTTATCGGCTGTTGCCGGCGAGGCCCTGCGGCCGGAACCGGAGAAGGGTGGCGAGGCGGCGGGACGGTCGCGTCCTGTGGCGGGAGGCTCGTCGTCCACTGGGCGCCCGCAGAACCCACCTGGGGGAGGTCCTCAGCCCGCCGCCGCCGCCGTGTTTTCAGCCAGGTGAACGTCTTAAAGCATTCGCCGGCGCCTTGTGGGTTTTGCGGAATTTCGGAGAGCATTTTTTAAATGTCTCATTCCTGTGCTTTGTTGCTTGTTGATCGAAGTCTGCCTTCCAACTTTCTTCGTGCGAACTCAGACAAAGGAACGAATTTAAAGTGGGTGGTTTAATTTTAAAAAAATGCAAGGACGAGTTACTTCCGAATTTGTAGACTTAAAATTTTCTGAACTGCAAAACGAGAAGGGAACAATAAATTTCTGTGGCTGATACCACATCTAAAAGAGTAGAACACTTTTAAGGAAAGCCGTTACAAAGGCTTTTAACAAGGAATTTTTAAATAATGTAAGAACATTTAAATCAGTAATTTTAACGTTTAAAAAACGCATAGCTATTTTTAGATAAATTTGTCAAATGGGACATGATGCTGTATTCCTACTTTGTAAACTTTTTGTCTTCCTATTGGGACTTGCCCTTTTTAAGCCCCCTCCCCTCCCACACACACCTGGCCCTTACATTTGCCTTCATTTGTTGAACAGGTGATTGATTTGGCGCCCATTGTGTGTCAGATACTGTTATAGACGCCCAGTTTATTTAAGTGAACAAAATAACTTGCCCTCATGGAGCTTACATTCTGTTAGAGCATGCAGAAAATAAATGTAAAATAAATATATAATGGTGTTAGAAGGTGATAGTGCCATCAAAAAATTGAGAAACATAAAGGAGTACGGGAAAGTTCTAGAGTGGAGGCGTGAACAATGGTGGTGGTCCGTGTAAGCCTCATTTAGTAGGTGTTATTTGAGCAAAGACTTGAAGGAATTAAGAGAGTTTGCTAAGTAAATGTCAGGAAGAGCATTCAGGCAGGTAGGAAAGCAGTTACAAAGGCTTTTAGGCCTGTCGTGTTTGAGGAATAGCAAGGAAGCCAGTATATCTGGAGAGGGATGAGCAAGTTTGTGGGGTGGAGGGACAAGAAGATAAAGTCAGATCATGAGTAGCTGGATTATTGTAAAGACTAATAGATGCAACGGGAGGTTTTGAGTAGAGGAGAGGTTTTTTTTGTTTTTTTTTTTTTTTTTTTTTTTTTTGGAGCCCTACTGCAGTTTTAGAAGATCAGCTTGGCTGTGAGTTGTGATTAGAGTGTAGGGGTGAGTGAAGAAGCAGGGAAATCATTTAGGAGGTTTTTGCCGTAATCCAGGTGACAATGATAGTGGCCCAGGCCAGGGTGATAACAATAGAGATGGTGAGAAATGGTTGGTTTCTGAATGCATTTTGAAGGTAGGCCTTACAGGATTTGCTAGGAATTGGGTATGTAGGGTGAGATCGAGGGAGTGGACGATGACTTCAAAGGTTTTGCCCAAGCTCGTATAAGTTTGGAGTTATTTAAGCCAAGATGCAAAAGATAACAGTAGAGATGTTGAGTAGGCAGCTAGATCCAGGAGTGAGAAGTTCTATGCTGGTGTGTGAATTTGGGGATCATCAGCAATGGTATTTAAACCATGACAATAAATGTTATTAGTAAGGAATGGGTGTAGACAGAAAGCAGCAGAGGACTAAGGACTGTGTCCTGTGACATTAAGAGTTTAGGGAAAACAGAATCAACCAGCAAACAATATTAAGAAGGATGAACTAGTGAGTTAAGAGAACAATCCAAAAAGGATAGTGTTCTGCAAGCCAAGCTAAGATCCTTTACAGAAGAGGAGGCAGTAATCAGGTGTGTCATATATTCTGGTTGAGGATAGAGGATTAGCTTTAGCAGTGCCATTGATGACCCTCAGCAACCTATTTCCTTAGAGTGCTGAAGGCAAAAATGAGCTTAAAATAGGAAAAAAGGAATTGGGCGACAGTGAATACAGATAAAACTAAGGAATTTTGCTGCAAAGGGGAACTGAGAAATAGGGTGTAGCTGGCAGGGTGAAGTGGGTCGAGGGTTTTTTGTGTTTACTTTTTAGGGTGGGAGAAGTAGCCACCTATTTGTTTGCCAATGGAAATGATCCGCAGAGAGGGAAAATCTGATGGTGAGCAGTAGAAGTGACAACTGAATTGTCAGAACAATTTCCTTGAACGAACTTGAAGGCAGTGCCTAATACAAAGGCAGAAGGATTGGATTTAGATAAAAACATGTATAGAGTTCACCTGCAGTGGCAGGGAGGCAGAGTATATGGGTACAGGTTGGGCATCCCAAATCCAAAATGCTCCAAAGTACAAAACTCTGAGCACCAACATGACACTCAGAGGAAATGCTCATTGGAGCATTTCAGAGCTTGGATTTGGGGCACTCAACCCATAAGTATATATGATGCAGATATTCCAAAATCCAAAACACTTCCAGTCTCAAGCATTTCAGATAAGGGATGCCCAACCTGTATAGCTATCAGTAGGGCACAAAATACCAATTGTGTGCCCTACCGATAGCTATACAGGTTGGGCATCCCTTATCTGAAATGCTTGAGATAAGCAAGGGATGCCCAACTCATCCCTTGATGTGGCTGCGAGAGTCTGGAAGCCACTGCCTCAGTTTCCTCAATAAAGGGGGAAACTTTGTATTGTACTTAGATACATTTCTAATATATTAGCACTTTGAAATACCTCTGAGTAGTTCACTCAACAAATACTTACTGAATACATATTACCTACCTTGTTCTGGGTGGTAAATATGTAACTGAACAAAAGTCCCTGTCTTCAGTGGGTTATCTATTTTAGGAGATGGGGACAGAATAAGCATATGTATGTCAGCTTCAGTTATTGGTGTGAATAAAAATAAAGCAGTGTGAGGAAGAAGGGAGGTAATTCTTTCTTAAAGGTTGATTACAGAAGGCCTTTCTGATGAGGTATCATTTGAGTCAGAGCTGAATCAAATGAGGGACTGAACTATGCAGGTATCTGGGAAGAATACTGACAGCAAAAAGAAGAGCTAGCACAGGCTGGGTGCAGTTGCTCATGCCTGTAATCCTAGCACTTTGGGAGGCTGAGGCAGACAGATCACAGCCTGCCCAATACGGTGAAACCCCCCTCTCTACTAAAAATAGAAAAAAAATTAGCCGGGCACGGTGGTGCATGCCTGTAATTCCAGCTACTTGGGAGGTTGAGGCAGGAGAATTGCTTGAACCCGGGAGGCGGAGGTTGCAGTGAGTCGAGATTGCACCACTACACTCCAGCCTGAGCGATAGAGACTCTGTTTCAAAAAAAGAAAAACTAGCACAAAGACCCTCAAGCAGGATCATGCCTGCCATGTCAAAGATCAGCAGGGGACCAGAATGACCGGAGCAGAGTGAGAGGGTGAATGGGCCAAGATAGGGCAGAAGGTATTGGGGGGCCCAAATCACATAGGTCTTGTAACCAAGGTCTTTATGGTTTTCACGGAGGTGGGATGCTGCCATTAGTGGTTTTGAATAGACTGGTGATGCGATTTGCCTTATGTTTTAAAGTCTTAGTGTGGCTGCTATGAGGGTGGGGTTGGGATAGTCAAGGGTAGAAATAAGGAGACCGCTTCATGAGTTACCACATTAACTTTAGTGACAGATGATGGTGACTTAGGGTGATGGCACTGAAGATCCTAGAAGCTTTCACATTCTGGTTATATTTAGGAGGAAGAGCTGAAAGGTTGGCTGATGGATTACATACTAGGTAAGAAAAAAAGTAGTTAGTCTTCATTGAGGTTTTTGATCTGTTACAGGAGGACTAGATTTATTGTTTACTGAGGTGGTTAAGACTGAGAACAGAGCAGATTTGCAAGAGTGGTATCAGGAACATGGTTTTTGACAAATTGAATTTGAGGTACCTACTTGATATTTTTATCCAGTGTCAAGCAGGCAGTTTTATATATAGGTACAAAGGGAGAAGTGAGGCCTGGAGATACAAATTTGGGAGCCATCACTGTCGCAGATAATAGATGGTATTCAAAGCCATAAGCCTGGATGAGGTAACTAAGGGAATAAAGCATGTGGAGAAGAGAGGACCCAGGAAGCCTTAGGGCAGTTCAGCATTTAGAAGTCAGGGAACTGAGAAGGAACCAGCAAAAGAAAACAAGAAATATGGTAGTATCCAGTGACGTGAGAGAACTGAGAGTGGTGTCTCAAAGCTGACGAAATGTTTCAAGAACGCAGAAAGGATCTGTTGTATCCAATGCTAGCAAGGTATATAATGTGAGGACTGATGGCTGGCCATTGCTTTTGCTGAGTTTTACTTGATGATTGTTCCTCAAATGTATTTTCCCCCATCCATCTCCAGACTGAAAGTGCCATGGGTTCAAGATCTTAACACCTGACATGTAGTAGAAGCTCAGTAAATATTTATTGACTCTGTACTGCTGACACCCTTTTTGAGCCCCCATCCCTCATCTGTTTTTAAATCTCGCACTCAAGCCCAGGTGTCTGACCTTTCCTGCCTAAAATGCTTCAGTGGCTCCCCACTGCTTACACCTATCCTGCCAAACAAGTCCATCTGTGCCACCTCTTTCAGCTTCATCTTATGCCACTCCCTCCCTGTTCATACTTATGCCCTGATAATGTAGAACAGTTTATGTTTTTCCCCACAGACATTTCATCCTTATTCTATTCTGTCAGCCTGGAATGACTTCCCTCCTCTGCTTGCCTAAAGTCTAGCTTTAAGAACCTGGAAGCTTTTCTGAGCTAACTCAGTCTGCGGGCAGCCTCCCTAGTACGCTTTGTATCTTTATCACAGTTCTTATACTGAGTTGAATCTCTTTTGTATGTTTGTTATGCTTTCTAGAGTATAAATTTTTAGGATTAAGAGCATGTCTTCAGTCATCTTGTTCCCCCTGGTACCTGTCACAGTGCCATCCTCTTGGTAGGCACTCTGTAAATATTGAATTTTGAGCGAACAGGGAAATAAAAGGGGCAGACATGCAAATATGAGCTGACGATTGGACGGCACGTAGAAAGGACGGTACATGGAAAATTCTAGACTATGTCAGAAGGCAGACATTTAAAAGAAATGGTAAAGATATTTTAATGTGTCAAAATCACAGGGAAAAAACTGGAAAATCATTTGTAGCTATTCCTTGTAATTCTAAAATGATACCGTAATTTGCAATCACCAAGTATTCTTCTAGTTTTATTTGAGAACATAGGAGGTAGACGATACTAATGTACATAATTTATGATGCTACATTATGATCTTTTTTTTTTTTTTTTAACAATTTTATATTAAATTTTTAGGACATCAATGCAAGCTTGAATAAGAAAAACAAATTCTTCCTCATAAGCCATGGCATATCAGTTATACAGAAATACCACTTTGGGAAACAGTCTTCAGGAGAGCCTAGATGAGCTCATACAGGTGGGAGACTGAATTGAAAATCAAACATTTTCATCTAGATGGGTTTATAATAATTCTTGTCTTATCACTTATCTCAGGCAAAGAGAAATGAGGTAAAATATCTTAGACTATTTGACCTAGCAAGTCAGTAACACTGACTGATGAATAACCTCAAACTCTTGTTTATTACACTGTCCTGACAACAGGACACAAAATATGATTGAATTATATCATTAAATATAACTAAATCTGGGTATGTGCAGTGGATCAGGCCTGTAATCCCAGCACTTTAGGAAGCCAAGGTGGAAGGATTGCTCGAGGCCAGAAGTTTGAGACCACCCATCTCCACAAAAAAATACAAAAGTTAGCCTGGTGTGGTGGCGCATGCCTAAAGTCCCAGCTACTCAGGAGGCTGAGGTGGGAGGATAGCTTGAGCCCAGGAGTTTGAGGCTTCAGTGAGCTGTGATGGTACCACTGCACTCCAGCCTTGGTGACAGAGCAAGACCCTGCCTCTAAATAAATAAGTAAAGTTAAATCTTCAAAAATTTTTGTTCAGCATAAAAATTGAGATTGTTGGTTTCCTACTTGTCAAATTTAGGGAAGAAAGGCATATTTTTTGTAGCTTGAAGATAGTTTTTGTCCAGTTTAATAAAGTCTTTAGAGATTTAGAAGTCTGAATTTATATTTCAATTTTAAGAGAATTAACCCTTTTATATCATTCTCCCAAAGTGGAACATATTAAGTAATTCCAGTTGTGGGTATATTTTATGAGCTTCAATAAAATTTAATAGGTTTATTGTTTGTTAAGATAGGCCCTTTGTGTTTAAAAGAAACATCTCTTTGTCTTCTCTTTCCAGCCACTGTGAAGGAAAGAGACAAAGTTTTGTTCTGGGTTTGTAACATCACTGCATGTTTTTAAGATTGTGTCAAGATAGTGCAAAAGATATCTTCCAGCTTTGCTGCTTCATCATCAGTTATGGCAAAGGAGATGAAGAAATTCTAGTTTAGAGGCTTGGGTTAACCACAGTTAAATTTTAGATGATAATTCGTGTATTTTTACTTACTTTGTCTTTAATGTTCTTCCCCAAGGGGATTTATGACCTTTACCTTTTCTCAGTCTCAACAGATCACCCCCCAACTTGCCCTTCAAGTTCTACTTCAGTTTGATAAGGCTATAAATGCAGCATTGGCTCAGAGGGTCAGGAACAGAGTCAATTTCAGGGTAAGGATATTTTCCTGAATCTAGAAGCCTGTACCAATGGTTGTTAAAACAGTGTGTTTTTTTTTTTTTTTAGTTATAAGAGGAAGAGGTGGCTTAATCAATTTTTGGAACTTGTTGTATAGTAACTGTACTTTTCAATCAACTATATACTAAGTTGATCAACTTAATGTGAGATACAGAGATGTTTTTAGAGTTTTATTTCATTGTTTCACAAATCAGCCTTGATATGTTTGGCTAACTTCCCTGAAGAGTTACTGAGATTCCAAACACCTGAAACATTATCTGCAGGATTAAAGGTAAGTGATAGAGTAATCCCTACAGTTCTATTACGGTTTTCAAACTCTGGCCTTTCCCTGTTCAGGGAAGGAGAGTTATTTCTAGAAACTTCATGTTGTCACCCTCATACTCTTAGGTAACCTGGCCGATAAAAACCTGATCTAGTGGTAGATAGCAGTGTATTCTGGTAGCTTGGTCTTACTTGAGTTACTTATACTTTGAACAGTCAGTCATCCAAAGCTGACTAAAGTTATTTCTCTCAGTTTCCTGATAACTTTAGATTAAGGGCTCATTGAAAGCATCATAGTACAACAGAAATAATTTTACCACCTTATGGTATTGATGGAGTCATATAGAACATGATGATGTTTAGTTATCCTATCTAATTTCATGTTTATATTGTACTATAAGGCATAACCTATAGAAATATGATTAAAAGTAGGTTAAAATATGATTAAAACACAAAATTTGAACATTAGGTAACATCTGCCTACTTTATTTGGTATTTAAAATACTCATTAAATAATTTGAGTGTCTGTTACATACCAGGCATGTTCCAGATACACAGAAATGAACAAGATAGACAAAGCCCCATTTGAGTTAAATTTTAGTGAAGGATAAAATAAGTCTCTTTTTTTTTTTTTTTTACCCCGCCACTCCCGCACTCAAGTCTCTTATTTATCAGTTTCATGTGCCAAAAAGATACCTGGAGTAAAATATACCTGTAAGACTATAAAATTTGACCAGTGGATTCTTGAATTACACAAACAGTAATGATTGTGGCAAAATTAATTTGTGTTTATTTACCCATATGCAGAAGTCTGCCCAGATGATCCATGTTAATACATAAATTTTGCTCTAGTAATAAATTTAGTGGACTACTTATCAAAGACAATATACTTCGCAAGGCCTAACTACTCTTCTAGGTGCATTATTGTAGCTTTCTAGTTTGGATTTCTTTAGCTAAAGTAATTTGGCATTTACATTTATCTTGTCTAGTATTTCGTAAGTTTGTCTATATTCCAAAAGCTATAAATAATTGCTCTCAGCCTTGATAAGGACTTTTCCATTCTTGCTTTTTAGTTTCCTGCTGCTGCTATTGTAGCTCAGTCTTTCATCGCCCTGCTCATGCGTTACAGCCAACTTGATCAATTTTAAGTCCAGAATGTTTGCAAATAACATTCTCTGTAGCTTAGTGTAGCACATGACCAAGACAAAAGACATACTTTAGAAATAACCAATTTTCAAAGCCATATTGCTAGATCAAATTTAAGTATATATTTTTTATTTATAATTTGCTGACCTAGGAGGGAGTAAGCATCCATTAAAAGAATAGAATAATCTTCTATGGCGTGTTAAATTGTTCTTTGTTTTAAATCTTTTTATGGGTTCCATAATAAGTGAAATTATTTAGTCAAGTATTATAGTAGAAAATCCCCTTGAGTATGAGAGCTGAGGTTTTAATTGTTTCTATGTTTTAATTTATTAGTAAAAAAATTCTAAATATATGTATCTTGAACTGAACTAATTTTTAGGGAGAAAATTCAGATTGAACTAGTATGTGTAAGTAGGCTTTTTAAGACCCATTGTATGTTTTTGGGAGAATATATGGCCATAGATAAAAATAATGATTACTTAAACATTGGAGTATTGGACTTCAAACAGTAAACAAGCATTAGAATATTTGATACCTTCCCCCCAAAAATAAGATTTAGTGATCAAGAAAAATAGCCCTTCTAAAAGACCTGAAAGTTTCCTTTCCCTGTTTTTTGATGTTTCCAAAATGAACATTTCTTACATAACTTTTAAGATGTTCTTGGCTGGCACGGTGGCGCATGCCTGTGACCCCAGCACTTTGGGAGGCCGAGTTAGGCAGATAGCTTGAGGTCAGAGTTGGAGACCAGCCTGGCCCTTGGCCAAGACAGTGAAACCTCGTCTCTACTAAAATAAGCCAGGCATGGTATTGCACGCCTGTAATCCCAGCTACTTGGGAGGCTGAGGTGGGAGAATTGCTTGAACCCAGAAGGCAGAGGTTGCAGTAAGTCGACATCATGCCACTGGGTGATCCAGCCTAGGCGATAGAGTGAGATTCCATCTCAAAAAAAAAAAAAAAATGTTGCCCAGTTGGGGATACGTGTAAAACAAAAAATGTATTTATTAAAGGTGCATTGAAGATAAAATTTGGCCAAATGATTATTATAATTAGTATTTGACCCTAGCCAAACATCTTATAGAAAGAACTTTTTGAATTTAAAGAATGAATCCAAAATTTCTCTTTAAAAAGTATAATTATCCAGGCACTGCAGCTCAAGCCTGTAATCCCAGCATGTTGGGAGGCCAAGGCGGGAGGATCACTTGAGGGCAGGAGTTAAAGACTAGCCTGGGCAATACAGTGAAACCTTGTCCAAATAATACATAAATAAAAGGGCTGGGTGCCGTGGCTCACAGCTGTAGTCCTAGCACTTTGGTAGGCCAAGGTGGGTGGATCACCTGAGTTTGGAAGTTAGAGACAGCCTGACCAACAAGGAGAAACTCCATCTCTAGTAAAAATATAAAATTAGCTGGGTATGGTAGCATATGCCTGTAATCCTAGCTACTCGGGAGGCTGAAGCAGGAGAATTGCTTGAACCCGGGAGGTTGTGATGACCCAAGATCGTGTCGTTGCACTTCAGCCTGGGCAATGAGAGTGAAACTCTGTCTTAAAAAAAAAAAAAAAAAAAAACGTAGCTGGGTGTGATGGTGTGTGCCCATAGTCCCAGCTACTTAGGAGGCTGAGGTCAGAGAGCAGCCTGAGCTCAGGAGGTTGTGGCTGGCTGCAGTGAGCCATGATCACGCCATTGCATTCTAGCCGTATGTGATACAACTAGATCCTCCCTCAAAAAAAAAGCATGTATATAAACATACAGATTATATATTTATAATTATATAATATATGCACACAAACTGAAAGATGTATATATTATATAATGTTTATCTGATATATAATTATAGAGTATATATGTAATATATACATGTCTTAGTTTATATACTATACTTGAGATACTAAATGGATTTTGATTTTCAGATGGAGAGTGAAAAAGCCAGGTATTTAAATGAAAATTATACAGAAAAGCTTATTTAATGTTAGAGATTCTAGATGAAATTATTCTAAAAAGATTAGATTTATATTATTTAATCTTTTGGGTTAAACTTTTTAAAAACATTTTTTGGCTCAGAAGTTATCTAGCTAATGTGCTCTTTGATTATGTTAATTGTCAACTTAATTTTCATCTGAAATTTTAAGGCATTTAATAATTTTTTTTTTTTTTTTTTTTTTTTTTTTTTTTTAAAGAGCAGGGCCTTGCTATATTGCCCAGGCGGTCTCGAATTCCTGGGGTCAAGGTATCCTCCCGCCTCTGCCTCCCTAGGAGCTAGGATTACAGGTGTGAGCCACAGCGCCCAGCCTAATACCTTTTAATTAACATCTTCAGTCAAGTTTTGTAGCATCTTTGTAGTAAAAATAATGAAATATTTACATTTATACTGCAACTAATGGAATTTTAGCGTATGCTTATATGCAAGTAGATTTTTCACTTCAGTCTACATCTACAATGGTTTATTTATATTTGAAAGTGAATACTCAATACTGGCTCATAAATTCCAATAACTTGGAATTTATTTACATAACAATGTAAAAGTATTTACATAACATTATTTACAAATTATTTACATAACATCCAATGAAGGTAATTTTCTGCAAGCTAAGCTATGAGGACACAAAAGCAAAATAATGATTTAATGACTTTGGGGACTTGAGGAAAAGGGTGGGAGGGTGGTAAGGGAGAAAAGAGTACATATTTTTAGATGGCATGCAGTATTTTTTATACTGAAAATATAAAAAGTAGCTGGTTGTGATGGCGCGTGCCTGTAATCCCAGCTACTTGGGAGGCCGAGGCAGGAGAATCACCTGAATTTAAGTGGCGGAGGTTGCAGCGAGCCAAGATAGTGCCACGGCTCTCCAGCCTGGGTAATGCTGCAAGACTCTGTCTGAAAACAAAAACAAAAAAAGAATACACACAATTTTTTTTTTTTTTTTTGGAGATGGAGTCTCCCTCTGTCATCCAGGCTGGAGTGCAATGGCGCCATCTCTGCTCACTTCAACCTCCACCCTCTGGGTTCAAGTGATTCTACCACCTCAGCCTCCCCAGTAGCTAGGATTATAGGCACCCACCATCATGTCCACCTAATATTTGTATTTACATAGAGACGGGTTTCACCCTGTTGGGCAGGCTTGTCTTGAACTCCTCAGCTCAGGTGATCCTCCCAGAGTGCTGGGATTACAGGCGCGAGCCACCACACCTGGCCAGTAATATATATACTCAAGATTATGGATTACACACAAATTCAGGATGCTGGAAATGAACATTGAGGATAGCATCTACCTGTTCAGCTTTTAGAGGCTCAGACTGTAGCAAATGAGCAGATCTAATTTTTAAATATATCTTACAGGTTTACAGTTTTGTGCCTTTTTCCCTTAACATGATGTCATAGATGATTTTCCATGTATTGATCACTCCACTGAAATTGTTGTTGCCAAGTTATTTTTCCTAAATCTCATGCATCATTTGTAATACTAGTGATTATTCTTTAACACCCATATTTCCCTTGAAAATCATACTGTGTGAGCTTTTCTCCTATTCCCTGGCCTCTTGCCCTCAGATTCCTTTAGTTATCTTCTGTCTTTGCTTATGATTTAATTGTTGGTATTCCTCAGGGTTATAGAGTGCCTTTCTACCTTTGGTTTCATCCAACCCTCTGGCTTGGTTAAAGTGAGTATCACGTTCCCATGCTTTCTCCTATACTCTACCTACTTATTGAACATCACGACTTAGATATATCTGAAATTCAACAAGGTCCAAATTTAACTTTACTCCCAAACCAGCTTCTTCTGTGAATGCATTGTCATTCCATCCAGAAACTTGGGAGTTACCATGGATTTCTCTCTTCCCCAACCCCACCATATTTATAGTTGTTAGTCCTACTGGACCTTCTTTTAAAGGTAGGCTACCTTTTAGAGTCTCTGCATTTCTGTAGATCCCTTTACTCTTACTGTACTAAAGCCACTTGCACCTCTTTGGTTCACCCAGCTAACAGACATCAGCTTCATAGCTGGTCTGTCTTCCTTTGGTCATACTCCTGTCTAATCCGTTGTCTACATCATCACCAAAACAAATCTGATCATGTGACTTTGGCTTAAAATCCTTCACTGACCTCCCAGTACCATTAGGATGGGGCAAATGTTTTCCAAGGTTCTCCTTTATCTTAGAATCTCCTGACACGATCTGTTTTCTGAAATGGACTACCCCATTCCACATGTTTGTCTTCTTTTCCATTATCCCTTCTTTCCCTTGACTCTTACTCTTCCGGACTCAACCTTCACTTTTTGAGAGAAGCTCTCTGCCTTGTGTCCTCCATACTCTTGAGTGCCTTTGCTGTACTCTCATTGTACCCAGTAACTTTCTCTTTCATAGCACTGTTATACTATATATCTATTTGTTTTAATGATCTCCCTACTAAACTCAGCTCGCCATTGGCAAGGACTGGTGCTTACCATTGTATCCTCAGAGCCCAGCATAGTCTAGCACACAGTGATTACTCATTTATTAATTCATTCATTAATTCATAGCCATCAGTTTTTTTTTCATCAGTTTTCTTAATCTCACTTGATAGACTATTTACATTGCATCCAGTTTTTGCTATTACAGTAATATTTCAGGGAGCATTTCTGTGCTTGAAACTTTGTTTCTAAATTGAAGATTTTAGTCATTTAAGTGTTGCATACTTAATTTCCTCTGTGACTATATGTGCACATGTGTGTATATCTCAGGTTTTAATTATATTCTGTTGGTGTCTTTGCACGACTTTCATCACATTCTTTTTAAAAATTTCCGGCCGTGCGTGGTGGCTTATACCTGTAATCCCACCACTTTGTGAGGCTGAGGCGAGTGACCTGAGGTCAGGAATTTAAGACTAGCCTGGCCAACATGGTGAAACCGTCTGTACTAAAAATACAAAAAGTAGCCTGACATGGTGGGAGGCACCTGTAATCCCATCTACTTGGGAGGCTGAGGCAGGAGATTCGCTTGAACCTGGTAGGCAGCAGTTGCAGTGAGCCTAGATCACGCCACTGCACTCCAGCCTGGGCGACAGAGTGAGTCTCCATCTGAAAAAGTAAAAATAGGTTGGGCGCGGTGGCTTACACCTGTAATGCCAGCAGTTTGGTAGGCCAAAATTGGCAAATCTATATAAATATTTACATATAAATATTTATATAGAAATTAGAGGGTCTGCTGGGCGCGGTGGCTCACACCTGTAATCCCAGCACTTTGGGAGACTGAGATGGGCGGATCACCTGAGGTCAGGAGTTTGAGACCAGCCTGGCCAACATGGTGAAACCCTGTCTACTAAAAATACAAAAAGTAGACAGGCATGGTAGCCTGTGCCTGTAGTCCCAGGTACACGGGAGGCTGAGACAGGAGAATCACTTGAACCTGGGAAGTGGAGATTGCAGTGAGCTGCGATTGTGCCCTGCACTCCAACTAATTAGAAGAATGTGGCCTGGCTGTGGTGGCTGACACATGTAATCGCAGCACTTTGGGAGGCCAAGGTGGGAAAATTGTTTGAGGCCAGAAGTTTAAGACTAGCCTGGTCAACATAGGAAGACCTTGTCTCTGTTTTTAAAAATGTGAAAATAGGCTGGGTACAATGACTCAAGCCTGTAATCTCAGTGTTCTGGGAGGCCAAGGTGGGTAGATCACCTGAAGTCAGGAGTTTCAAACCAGCCTGGCTAAGTGGTGAAAACCTGTCTCTACTAAAAATACAAAATTTAGCTAGGTGTGATGGCATTTGCCTGTAATTCCAGCTACTCAGGAGGCTGAGGCAGGAGAATCACTTGAACTCGGGAGGCGGAAGTTGCAGTGAGCCAAGATTGCACCACTGCACTCCAGCCTGGGCGACAGAGTGAGACTCCGTCTCAAAAAAAAAGAAAGCCGGGCACGGTGGCTCAAGCCTGTAATCCCAGCACTTTGGGAGGCCGAGGCGGGTAGATCACGAGGTCAAGAGATCGAGACCATCCTGGTCAACATGGTGAAACCCCGTCTCTACTAAAAATACAAAAAATTAGCTGGGCATGGTGGCACGTGCCTGTAATCCCAGCTACTCAGGAGGTTGAGGCAGGAGAATTGCCTGAACCCAGGAGACGGAGGTGGCGATGAGCCGAGATCGCGCCATTGCCCCCCCCCCGGGGGAAAAAGAAAAAAACCCCTGCCCAAAAAAAAAAAAAAAAAAGAAAAAAATTGTACAGGCCAATAAATGTTGTAGTGTTAGTGACTAATATAGTAATGCATCTGAACCAAGTCACAGGATTAACAGTTTGCAGGAGATCCCCGCTTTTGTACAGCTTTGGAGAATTAACATCCACAACGAAATGTAACTTAAATATTTCCATAATATTTTGAATGAACTTTCATAACTTAGCCACCTGAGGGCAGTAGCAATACAAACACAAGGCTTTTTTTCCTTCCTGTTTCAGGTAAGTAATTTGCAGATGAATTTGCAATACTGAAAGTACTGTGTACCAACTAAAATGTTTTTGAACTATTCCTTTAGCAAATTTGTCTCGTTTTTTTCTCTTCTCAGTAACTAGAATTAAAATTAAGGAAAATCTTAAGCATTAAACTTCCTAACAATTATGTACTTGGCAGCTAAGATCTCAAATTGCTTTGGTGAAAAATGTCAGGGGAAAAAATAACTTCATGGTATGTCTAAATGTTTTGTTTTAAAGGGTGCGCTAAATACGTACAGATTCTGCGATAACGTGTGGACTTTTGTATTGAATGATGTTGAATTCAGAGAGGTGACAGAACTTATTAAAGTGGAAAAAGTGAAAATTGTTGCCTGTGATGGAAAAAGTAAGTGTTTGCCTAAGTTCTTTAAAAGCAAAGCTACTGGAAACCTTGATTTTATGAGCCTTTAGAATATCTGCATCTATATGAAAAGCCTAAGGGGAAAAATGGCCAAATGCTCAATGCCCAGATAGATCCCAGGCTTCTAGCTCAGCCAAATTCTGAATTACAAATCTGAAACAGTGCTCTGATTGACTGTAGGTGGATACATTTTTAAATGACACATAGACTACTTACACAGATTGAATTTGGGTTGGGGAAAAGTCTAGCTTAAGAATTTTAGAGGAATGGATATTTTCCATCATGACACCAATCTGTTACGTATATGCACCAGACCTAGGACTTCAGGTCCTTAAATGTTTCAAAAGCTATACACCTCTGGTTTCTGTTTCATGGTTATTTCCTTTTTGTGATTTATATTTTAAATACAAATTTTTAAATAGAAAAGACTGCTGTTTTTTAAGAGGGGAAGTTTTGAAAAGCAAGAAAAAGAAATGCAGAAAGTAATAATACTCTCCATTTCCTTGTTTAAGTTGGATTTGTTTCACATATTTTGGATTTCCAAACAGCTAATTACTGAAGAAATGTAGAGAATACCAAAAAACACATTATAACACTACCTGATGATGGTGTTATATGATGGTGTTATAACTACTGTATTAAATACTATATATATATATACTCTATATACACTATATATATATAAATACTATATATATATTAAATGCTATATACTTTTCCCAAAAATGTATATGTAGATATTTCTAAATATATCATTTCACTAGTCTGAAACCTGATTTTTAATGGCTGTATAAAATTACACCTTCAGCCCTTTTTAAAGAAATAGTCTCTGAACCTAGCAATGGTACTTAGTGTTCCTGTAGGTTAATTTATAATACCTAGACCTCTGTTAATGCTTAGTGCTGCTTAGAACTTTGTTACCTTGGAAATGTTTTAACTTGGTTATCATGGAAATGTTTTGTTGCATTTTGCAGTAGCCACTCATGGCTATTGTATTTAAAATGTGGGTAAGGCAAGTGAGGAATTTAATGTTTTAATTTTGTTAATTTGCATTAATGTGAATTTAGCCACGTATCACTAGTCAGTGGTTACCATATTGGACAGAACAGATGTAGATTAGTAGACTGTCAGTTTCACTCCTTTGAACCATAGCTGAGAACCAAAAAGTCAGTAAAATAAATATTTTGTTCAGAAGTTCTTTTTACTGATAGGAGCTCCTGTCTGGTAGGCCTTTAGAGTGTGTGGCTGTTAACTGTACAAGATTGTTTTCCAAAGCACAATAGAAGAGAAGTAGCAGATCAGCCTTATTCATATAAATCTATATTTATTTCTTTCCCCCACTTATAGTACAGTGTAGTAATTGATGGACTCAAGCTGAAATTGTATTCCATTTACTTTAATGCAATGGTAGAAGTTTGGGATAGTAGGCTGGGCATGGGGCTCATGCATGTAATCCCAGCACTTTGGATCACTTGGGGCCAGGAATCCAATGCCAACATGGTGCAACCCCATGTCTACTGAAAATAGAAAAATTAGCCATGCATGGTGGGGCACACCTGTAATCCCAGCTGCTCCAGAGGCCGAGGCAGGAGAATCACTTGAACCGGGGAGTCGGAGGTTGCTGTGAGCTGAGATCATGCCACTGCACCCTGTGCAACACAATTAAGAATAAAAAACAAGTTTGGGACAGTAAAGGACCTCGAAAAGAAATATGTTACATATGAACCCAAGGCAGTTCAACTTGGTTTTACTCTAGTATGAATAGGAAGAGCAAAGCATCTTTTTAATCTGTTTGTTTGAAAAGGTTATTGAACTTGTGAATGTATTTCCACTGTCACCTTCCCTCTCTAGCCTTGCTGTCTGTTCTTCCCCACCCCTCAAGCTACCACCATTAGTCCTGTGTTCTCATTTTTGATATTCTTAAAATACTTACATTTAAAATTAAATTGCTCCTTGAATTTACTTTCTTTTCTTTGTTCCCTAGATACTGGCTCCAATACTACAGAATGAAAAGGGAAAAATGCCCTTGTTTTATGCCATCTTCTGTTATTCATTGCTTTTGAAGATGATAAGCATAGAAGAGACTTTTTATTTATTCTAGAATTGCAGAAATGACTACACTGTGCTATACCAGAGAATTCCACTAGGAAGACGCTTATCACTCTGTAGCCTCTTACCTTTATTATACAGCATGAAAAAACATAAAACTTTTTTTTAATGACAAAAGTTGTTGCCTTCTTAAGAACCTTCTTCAATAAACTCATTTTACAACTCTGAGTAACAAGTGGTGAAGCTATAAGGTAGCAATATGAAGATCGATAGATACTAGATAATGCATTTTCTCTGCTAGGAACACGATATTCTTTCATAAGTCTTAATGTCACTTTACCTGATCAGCAGCGGCAAAACCAGGGTGGAATCAAGAAATCCCCTTGTTTTTTAAAGTAAAAAAGCATGATTGGCATGAAAAACCCAGGTACAACTTAATTAGGAAAGCTTAGACAATCACAGCAAAAACAAAACCAAAAAACTTTCCTTAGACCACGTAACATGAGGAAGGGGGGTTAGGGTTGCTAGCATGCCATTGTAGTACTAGATTCTGAAAACTTTTTGGCTAGGTGCTGGTCGCTCACACCTGTAAGTAATCCCAGTACTTCGGGAGGCCAGGGCTGGAGGAGTACTGGAACCCAGGAGTTCGAGACTACCCTGGACAACAGACTGTCTTTACAAAGAAAACTGCTTCATCCTCCAGCTCATCCTATCCTATTTCCATATTCCCTTCCTAACCTCCGCTACTACCCATTACATACTCTGCTCCAGTTAAGCTCAAGAAAAAAAGACACCTATGATTTCTTAATGTTTGGTTAGGCTGTTTCCTCCAATTTTCATGTCTTTACTGTCAGTGTAAAACATCCTCCCCAAAACTTAAACCCAGTTGTATCTGAGTGTATTCTTTCTGACCTCTTGCAATGGAGTCATTTAAATACATGAAAAGCCTGGGCATGGGAACTCAACGCCTATAATCCTAGCACATTAGGGGCCGAAGGAGGTGGATTGCTTGAGCTCAAGAGTTTGAGACCAGCCTGGCCAACATGCGGAGACCTCGAACTACTCAAATTACAACAACAACAAAAAAAGGCCAGATATGATGGTGCGTACCTGTGGTCCCAGCTACTTGGGAAGCCGAGGTGGAAGCATTACCACTTGAGCCAGGGAGGCGAAGGTTGGAGTGAGCCAAGATCATGCCACTGCACTGCAGCCTGGGTGACACAGTAATACCCTGTCTCAAAAATAATAAATACACGGAAAAACAGGACAGAATATAAACCTTTTTGACAGCAGTAATGCATGTTCCTCCCAGAGGAGGTCAGGATAATCATTCAGATACATTTATTTGGTTTCACAGCTAACGTTTGAATAGTATTCTCCAAGGAAAACATTCACAAACTCTTACTTAACTCATATATGCCTGACACACTAGAAAACTACTATTGGAGTAGAACGTGGAGTTCAACCTAGACTTTTCCTGTTTTCTTGAGATGGAGTCTCACTCTGTCCCTCGCCCAGGCTGGAGCGCAGTGGTGTGATCTCTGCTCACTGCAACCTCAGTCTCCCAGGTTCAAGCTATTCTCCTGTCTCAGCCTCCCGAGTAGATGAAATTACAGCTGCACGTCCCCACACTTGGGTAATTTTTTGTATTTTAGTACAGATGGGGTTTCACCGTGTTGCCCAGCTGCCGAAGCAATCCACCCGCCTTGGCCTCCCAAAGTGCTAAGATTATAGGCGTGACCACCATGCCCGGCCCAGACTTTTTCCTTTAAACAGCTCTGTACTAGAAAGTGGTCTGTACCTAGGGCTTTGCTCAGCATTATTTAGTGGGAGGCCATCTCTCTGATGGGACAGGTTTTTGTTTCAGGCTGACTGAAGTAGAGTCACAATAGATTAGCTAGAGTACTCCTACAGGTAACTGCTATGGAATACCTGGGATTTTTACATTTCATCCATTGAAACCAGTTTACATATTTAGCTTAGCCACCATACATACGTACCTCTGCTTTTGTCTGGGCAGAGGTGCAGAAGTCAAAGCCTGGCATTTCCTCCTGTGACTTCTAATTATCGCATACACATCACGTGACTGATACTTGCACTGTGGCGTGTCCTCTAATCTTCTAATCTTACCCAAGCCACTGGAATTAAAGTAAAAGGTCACAACAGGTGCATGTATCACTTTGTGCCCTTGCAGCTGGCCACAGTTTCTAGTCTAGGGATAGGATCCTAGTTGCCTGCTGATTCCTCGAAGATCTTGAACCACAAATACCATTTGACCCAGTAAACCCATTACTAGGAATATATGCAAAAGAATGTAAATCATTACACAGATACATGTATGTTCATTGCAGTACTGTTCACTATAGCAGAGACATGGAATTAACCCAAAGGCCATCAATGATAGACCGGATAAAATGTGGTACATACACACCATGGAATACTATGCAACTGTAAAAGGGAATGAGATTATTCCTTTGAAGGGACATGGATGGACCTGGAAGCCATTATCCTCAGCAAACTAACACAGGAACAGAAAGCCAACCACCACATGTTCTCCTAATTGTGAGCTGAACAATGAACACATGGACACAGGGAGGGGAACAACACACTGGGGCCTGTCAGGTTGTGGGGTAGGGGGAGGGAGCACATGAGGAAAAATAGCTAATGCATGGGGACTTCATACTTAGGTGATGGGTTGACAGGTGCACCAAACCACCATTGCACAAGTTTACGTATGTAACAAACCTGTACATCCTGCACATGTGCCCCGGAACTTATAAGAATCGTAGGTGCCTGTTAATGTGGAAGAAAGAAATTCATTAATTCACCTACTGTCAGGAATACAAGTCAGAGAAAGCTGGGCTTTTTGTGATAGTGTAGAGACAGTCCTCCAGGTTAGCTATTTTAACACCCAAAGAGTGGACAAAGAATAGCCTCTTCCTTGGGCTTAATGCCAGACTGGTGACTGACTGGCTTCATATGATTTACATTCACCCAGCTGGGGAGAAAACAGTATTTCCTCTCGGTACATTATCAGTCATTCATAACACACTGATCTGTTGCCTTAAGTTTTGAAAAGGTCACAAATGTATACTAACGGTAAATTTCTGGAATATTTTTAAAGTACACATATTTACAATGATATATATGAATCAATTGGGGAAGCAATTTGTAATGTAAGTTATGAAACTTGGATTCAAGTGGAAAATATAGTTGATTTTGTAACATGAGAGCAGATTACAGGAGGCCTTGGAAAGCTGGGCAGGGAAATTCTCAAGAGGCCCTTAATGGTCTTTGAGGGTGGGAGACACATGAAACAAAGCTGAAACATGCAGGAAACATAAGAGTATCCAGGGAGCAGTTAAAACTAGACTGGCTTAGGGGTTTAATTATGGGAATGAGAAAGCCCAGATGAGGGAAATTCAAATTCCAATGAAAACTCAGAGTCTGGAGTTCAGGTGAACATACATATGAACATTTGTCAGAACTTACTAGCCAAGATGCTAAGCCATGGACACATGAAGGCTCACAGATCAAAACCTTTCAAAGCTGAATGGAACCTCAAAAATGATCCAGTGACTTCAGCCTCCTCTTTCAGTGCACAAGAAAATTAAGACCCAGACAGGGATGCACCTTTTGAAGACCAAAAATCCAACCAGGAGGAAACCTGAGTATAAAACTCCCAAAATTATATGACTACATGAAAATAAATTAAAACCTGTCATTTATAGCATTATTTAAGCACCTTTAAGTCCCTACTACTGCGCACCTACATGCACACTATATGCAGATAAGTGAGAAGCCAATGGATTAAAAATCAATGCCTACTACTAAAATTTCTAATGAAATGGCATTTAGCACTTCAAAAATAACTGGGTAGGGGGATGGATTGCAGTCAAACAAAATGGACCATGCATTGATAGCTGCCGAAGCTCTGTAACAGGAAAATGAGATTCATTATATCCGTCTTGGTTTTGCCTGCAGACAGAGACGTGAAGGTGTTCTTTCTACTTCTGGAGACACACAGGCAGCACCAATTCTTTGGCCAAGTTAAGGAATGGACACAGAAACTTTATGCATTTCTCTTTCCTGCTTCTTCTCACTCTACTCCCTATTATGAAGCCTCTATCTGGAGACTTCCACATCTAGTCATGCCAGAGTAAGAAGGGTGTGACTTAACTTTCTCTATAAACAACTAGAAAAGTAGATTAAATACATGAAACACATGTTTTTCATGTATTGGATCACAGGCAGCACAGGACTGTAATCACTGAAAAACAAAAAAAGTAGGATGAACCCTACAGTCATCCGAGCTCTTTTCATAGACGCAATATCCGAGCTGCAGACACAGGGAAAGGAAACCCAAACAGAACTTGTCAGCATTGCAGAGTTGAAGGAAGCTAAAGTCGCTGGAAGCTGCAAGCACATTTCCAGAAAGGAGACCACTATGGAGAGGAAAAAAAACCTCCAGGAATCTATACCGTGGTCCCCTAGAGTCCTTACTGAGTGCCTGGCTGCGTAGAAGCAGAGTGACACTCTACTAGGCTAAGCTAAGAGTGGGGAGTTGCAAACAGCAATTCCCAAAGCTCACGGTAGGGGATGCCAGAGTAAAGAGTCCTCGGTAATCACCCAAGACATTGGAGACCGCAGACCAGTCATGCCTTAGTAGCACGCATCCCTTGAATGAAAGCTGCTTGACTTGGACTCACCCTAGCAAAACTGAAAAGCAGGACTCAAGGGCATCACGCTGTTCCACAAAGAGTTGCCAAAACGAAGCCCAACACAAGTCAACAAAGTCCAGATCCTCAACAACTTAAAAGTTACAGTGTCCTGCGTCTAACAGAAAAATTACAAGACTTGCTAAGCAACAGGAAAATGTGACCTTTATGAGGACAAAAAGTAGTGAACAGGAACAGACACCGAAATGACAGGGGTGATAGAGCCAGCAGACAAGGATGTTAAAACAGCTATTTTTATGTTCATACAAGTACTTAATGACAAAAATGAAAGATGAAAAAAAAAAAAACAAGCAGAACTTCTAGAGACGAAAGATACAATATATGAAAAAAAAATGTAACTGAATAGCAGACTAATACTAAAGAAGAGATCAGTGAAACTGAGGAAACACAAACTTTCTAAAATACCTCACAGAAAGAACCTAACTAGGGATAAAAAAGGAACTGAACGTCAGACATTTTTGAAGTAGTATCGAGTGGCTACATACGGGA